TCAGGTTCACGGCTACAGAGTCACTTAAAATAGTGGCAAGACAAACAATGAACCAATCATAATTCACTTGAGCACTCCCCTGGATTGCTCCGGGGCTCCCATAATACTGGTAAAGAAGAGCGTAGGGTCTATCGTGTTTATTTTTTGACTGCCTTCAATGGGCTATGTTTCGGCACTATTCGGCAGGAGCACATTTGACATGCGCTGCTTATTAATATTAATGTACCGCCAAACTCGCTACGAGTGTCGTCATCACTTGGGTTATCCCCAAGAGCGATTTATAGGTCAGGTTGCACTGTTGAATATCCTTTTCTGTTTAGCTAAAGCGCGTGGACTTTATTTGGCTAGTATTTGTTTCTGGTTTCTTTTATTATTATTATTGTGGGTGTTTTGCGTAATAGAACATTAAAACATTTTGGGCGGCACGGCACGACCGTGCTCTCTGGACGAACCGTACCTGATGCTCATAGATGTTTTTCTTGCATGAGATTATTGATTATGTATAATCAACTAAAATGCCAAGTTGACAGAAAACTTAACAATTTTATTGGGTTTGGGTGTGCATGTTCGTAGTCATCAGTCACATGGGACATGGGACACCGTATAGATTTTGTCAATGTTGCTATCTGTTCTTATTTTGTCATTCATACTTGATCTGGTTTGTACAAACGTAGGCAAAGGAACAGTTTGCCCATTCCAATCCCACATCATAACAGACTTGATGATTCTTCACAACGGACACTGTAACACCATGTGAAACCACTTATATGACAACAAAAGTAACCACACGAAGAACAACAGGCAATATAACAACTAAACAAGTCTGATTGTCATACCAGCACTTTTTATTAAAGGTTGTTTCGATGGCTTGGGGTACCGAACACGTAACTCTGCAAAACAAGAAACAGGGAAGTGTTATTCACAGGAGCCATAGCATGTCCCATTTAAAAAAAATAAAATCAAACATACCTTCCACTTTGAAACTTAAGTGTGAAAAATGGTATTGTAGCAATTTTCCTACAATAATAATATTACATTGCAAGACAAAAATTTCATCCTGAGGAGTCTAATGGGAAAAACACAGACTGGCATGATGACGGTTGTGGTCATCAAATCTTGGTGTCACATGAGACACTAGAATTGAGAGAGTGAGAACAATTTTGTTTTGGTTTACATGGCATTGTTCGAAAGGAGCCACAATAACACATTTATTTTTATTGAAAAGTAAAAGATTGGGTTCATTGGGCTGTGCTTTAATTTATCAGGCTCAAAAGTGTCTCATGCTTCACATGACCACAACACCATGATGTCATCAACTTCTGGGGCTTTTTTTTCATGCATGTTTTACATTGATGTCTTAAATGAGCTCTAAATTACATGGACTGGAATGAACAAACTATACAGCAAGGAGCAAAGCCCCGTTTTCAATGGTAGGTTTTTCCCTGCACAATTCATTGTCTCAAGTGACAAAAAAGTGTCCCATTTGACAGATCCGTTTTTGATGACCACAAGAAAACTCTTTCCTGCGCTGTTTCCATTCATCTTGAACAAAGGGAAACCACTGTGTTCCAGACCCTTGGGAGCTTCCTCTCAAATAAAAACATTTGACTTGGACACAGCGAAAGAAATCTTGATGGAGTTTGGGTTTCGGTGTCCCATGTGACAAAAATGACGCAAATAATCTCTGAGCGAATCGGTTAAACCTCAGAGATTCGACAGTCATAAAACAAACACATTATTACTCATTGAGTATATCTTTTTTTAGTAAGGCGATAATATTCTCCATACGCTTACTCATTTTACCAAGAAATTATAAAAACTGGTGATGACAAGGTGTGTCACAAGAGACACCCAAACTTTATACATGTACTAACGTTCGCTCCTAACACGTAACACTGAAAACATTTTGGGGTTTATGGGAAGCTAATTTAGTGTCTAAATAGCTAACAGGCAAATTTTATGTGCAAACTCTTCTTATACATATATCTGAGTTATAGTGTTTCTAGTTTTCGCACTATCTCACATACTGTATTGCACCTCAAAATATGAAGTCGACCGAAACGTTTTTTTGCAACAGAAAATTTAAAACCTGTTTATTATCAACGAGCTATCTCTCGCTATATTCTATCTCGTTGTCCATTTCTCTAGCTAATTCATCAATGCTGAGCCAGCAAATGCAAAACACAAAAAAGGTGTGACTACTTAAAGTATGCCTCTGAAACAATGTCACCTTTTGACCCGGGCTCA